TTCAAAGACATAAAGCCGAACAATAGGATAGTTGGGACATCTCCGGGGTTTCTCCTGGATCTGTGATGTCCCCTACTTTTCTTCCCTTTGAATTCCTTAAATAATTGTTCCTATTTTGAGCCATTCTCATTTGACTTTCTTATGTCCAATCGTGAAAACCTAAATTTTGAAATCTTGAAAGCAAAACCACCTGATCTTAATCGAGAGTTATCTTAAGTGATTTCGATCATTTAAGATGTAATTAACTATAGGGGCTTGCCTCTATAGGGAACCAGGAACCCAGATAAAATAAACCCTATCTAATTTTTTATGTTAGATAGGGGAACTTGTTGGCCTTTTTATAAAATATTTCGCAGATCAAAACGGATGTCACAAATTGTTTAGTCTAAATGATTAAATCCCTATTACAAGTAATATATTTATTCTTCGGGATAAGTGTATTGCTTGTAGTATTGTGTTAAATCATCTAAGCTATTTAAAATGTGAGACTCGTTTGGTCTCACTTATTTTAAAAATTTAAAAAAAAAACGTTACTTCTTTAAAAAAGTTATATTTATATTTAAATTATTTTCAAAATCCCAAAATCATCACTCTTTTTCAAATCACGAAAGCGAAGGTTGAACAGAAATAAAAAACGGCCGACACAGCCCACCTTCCAGCCACCTGACAATTAGATGCCGCCATCCCTGCTGCAACCGCTGCCTTCCCTTATTGCCTTTCGACAATCCAGAGCTCCATGCACGCTATTTCTCTTTAAACCAAAGCACCACCACCATTGACCTAAACCTTAAGTTAAGTTTATGTTATCTTTTGTTATTTCCTATTTCCAAGTGTATTTGATTATAATCTCTATTTGATTTTAATAATTAAAGTTGCATTTCTGTTGTCACTTGGACTCTGATATCACTCTGGGTATGATTCTGATATTACAAAAACGAACTTTAAAAAAGACATGATTAATGATATAGGATGCCTTTATGTTGCTATACTTAAAAAACATGTAGCCTTCAACGTGCTGTTGTTATTAAAAAGGTAACAAAGAAAAAAATCAGCAACCGAGCAGAAAGCCATCTGATCGAAGCATTTACCTTTCCAGAGTACATGATTTTAAATGGTCCACCTGTCCCAATTGGAGACTCTTTTCCCCACGAAATAGCATCAATGGTACCGTGAAGACTATCAGTACAATCTTGCTTAGCAGCATCAACGAAGCAACTCGCCGGATTCTATTAAATTTGCACATTCACGGATTCTATTAAATTTGCAGCAATTGTCAAATTTGCAACAAAAGATCAATTAAAAGACGAGCAAAAATAGGTCATCACAAGTACTTACAGAAAAGCATGCGAAAGTGAAAGGTGAAGAATTTGCGGTAAAGTCCTTTTGCATCTTTAACCCTTTTTTGCTCAATCCATAGAACTCCCCACTGAAAAAAAGACGGTCTGCAACAATCTTCAAGTGCTCTTGACGTACGTTCCTTCCTACATCAAGTGCGGTTGACTTCAATGACTGCAGGTTGAAAATACAATAAAACTAAAAGATGACGCACTGATTAAAATAATTATAAAGTAAATAATAAAATCAAATTGGAAATATCTTACTCTTAAGAAAATAATCCATGCGGCACTTATCCCAAACATGCTAGAAATATTGCATATGTCATTTGGGTGACTACGGTTCCAATCAATCAAGTCCATTATAGGGACACAGGCATTTTGAATAGAATTCCAAAATTTCCCCGGTGAGCAAGTTTCCGACATAGTAACTTTTAGAAAAAGTTCGCCATTAGAGTTTTTCTGGGTATCATCCCACAAAATATCAACCTTTTCGAACTCAGAGAATCCTGAAAAAATTGTTACCATATATTTTAGTATATTCCAAGGGATAATGAATAAAGCAAGCATGTTTGATATGAAATTATTACAGGAACTTAGAGGTTGGCAAAAACTTTTTGCAATAATTTTTTTTCTTAATAAATTGTTCACTTCTTGTCCCTCAAATAGAATTGTAGCTAAGATGAATTAAGTCCCAAAAAATGGACTCTAACCTAATCTTGATCAAACAAACTGATTTCACATATCTTAAGCATTAAGCTAATAATAAGGAGAAATAATGTAGTCGGAAATTAAGATATTTATTTGCCATAACATATGGAAGCGAAAACCATTCATGGTGTATTTCTTGAAAATTTTCCTTTGTAAGTGCTCGAAGGAAAGATAACACAACTGTGCTCACAATTCTCTTTCAACAACGAAAAGAAGCCAATAAATGCAACAAAGCAAACAACTGACCTTTGATAAGTGACTTTAGAAGACATGGTAACACCAAGTGTCTTAACGTATCCAACAATATAGGTGAGTCAGCAAATTCGACAGCAAGTGTAATACAGTTCATGGCACCTGATTTCTCTTGTTTATCATCTGGCAGATGATACCTGCATTATTACAAAATCTGCAATTAATTTTGTTTTAAGGCATAAGAAACTAAAAGAAATATCAATATCAAATAAAAAAAGGGAAAATTAAATACAAAGCACCCAATTCTTATGGCTTTACCTATCTCACACCTAAACTTTCATTTTTACACATATAGCACATTACCTATGGATGAAAAGATGGATTGAACTATTAAAATGTGATTATGAGTGCTACTTTTCATATGATGTTTGAAATTATGAAAATTTAGGTGTAAGATAGGTAAATATGAAAGTCTTGGTTGCTATGTAAAAGCCCCTAAAAAAGGTTACAAGGCTGGAAGCAATGAAAAGGAGAATTTGATTGCCTAACAAATTCATATCCAAAAGGGAAAAGGGTTATTGGTGTTGATGTTTGGGAGAAGAGGAGGAAGAGCCCCACTTTTTAATAATCATACATAATAAGCATATGCATAGACATACAGCATTCTTGATTACTGATTCAGAAAATTGAAGCTCTATTTGGTCTCAATACTTTATATTATGATGCAACGCTATTTGAATGCGGGTGACATTTTTTGGTAACATTATTGTTAAGTTATATGCAGCACCAGAAAAGCTAAAGTAGTTTGTTTAAAAAATAGTGTGAGATGCTTAAATGACCTAAAGGAAAATTACTCAAAAACTCATTTTATGCTAATCTAATATCCAAATTTTCTATTAGGTCTTAATTTTGACTTAGTAATGCATAATTAGTAAATTTATTCCGAATGTCTAAATGGAGCACTCATTTTTGCAAATTCTTCCTACAAATTAAATAAGAAGAATGTCTTTCAACGTTCACGCTCAGCTTTAATGGTGATCTGAGGAAAGCTGAAGTAGAATATGTAAATGGTACATCACTTAACCTAAAATGGGCAATCCTTCCTTTCTATCATGAGATACCAAAGGCCATTCAAATGGACCAGCTAATTGACTCTATGGAAGAAATACACAGGATTTCTATGTTTGGCATACAACTCCATGGGATAAATTGGAAGAAAGTCAATATGGAGAAAATTTGGAAGAAAGCCAATAATAGCATACTCCAACCTTGACAATTTTGTTCAATTGTGTTTATTATAAGACCATGCTCGTGACATTAGATAATGAAGCATGATTGCTACTGAATATTTCAGCACTTATAAAACTTCACAAGAAATGTATATCTTCAAACAAAATGTTCAGGTGAAGGGACTGCGCAGAAAAATACAACATACAGGTGTGAAAACCAGAACATACAAATTTCTTACAAATCTCAATAAAGATCTTGATAAAGTTCATGGTAGAATCTTTAGAATTTGTCCACTTTCTAAAATTGAACATTTGCTGAAGTTCAAAGAGAAGAAAACACACAGAGAACTATACTGTAGAGACATCAAGAATAACCTCCTAACTGAAGATTATGCTATTGCCATTAGAAGTATGAAGCAAAATCCAAGACATGACTCAAAGCGTTGAAAAAAGTACTCTTCAGTGGGAGGTTTGTAAAAACATAATCAATCGAAAAAAAGTACTTAGAAACTTCACAATAAGCCAACAAATCAAAGCAACTTTGGGAAACCAATACACCAAACTAAAAGCAAGGAAACAAAAGTGAAGAATGAAGAAAATTTGGACAACTTCTCCTTGAACAAAGAGCAATTGGACCTCCTATGCAAGTTTCTCACCGTTGAAAAATAACCAACTCCTCCCTTATAGCTCCAAAAGATGCTTTCACTCATGCTCTTAACTCAATACCACGATAAAGTTTCGACTTAGAAACCTGTAAATCTTGTTAAGCTTCTTGACGAGTCCAAATATACTAAAATTGCAAAATCATTTGCAAAGTTATTACATGATTTAAAAATAAAATATTTCTAGGAAAATAATAGGCATTTACATACACACCGCCCAATTCTTATGTATTTACATATCTTACACCTAAACTTTATTTTTAAATTTATACCACCCAAATCTTTCAATACCACATAAAAATACCACTATTTTAACTTTAAAAAAAAATGAAATACATCTTTTCAGGCATATATAAGGTGGCATATATGTAAAAATTGAAGTTCACGCGTTAGACATGTAATATAGGGATTAAGTAGCATGAAAATAAATCTTCCAAAAGATAAATATTATTTATGGCAATTACTGATGTGAATATAAGAAATTCAAACTATATGATAAATAAATAATATACCTGAATTCTAAAAGGGTTTCTACAAGAACTTGCAAAAAATTAACTGCAAGCAAGATGAGCCATATAAGATCATACAACATTAGGAAGAAAACATATAAACTAATGTTAATAAGTTTAGAAATTAGAACAATCTTCAATATCTCTGAATTGACTTTATTTCATGAACCCACTACTATATTGTGTATTCTTCCTACCTTACATCGCATCATTACAAATGCACACCCAACATCTTACCACATAGATCTACTTAGCTTGTGTTTCCCAAGCTTTTCTTAATAAAATTGTATTGACCACTAATGGATGGATATCAAAGATATCTTGTGCATTGGCGCGACAAACCCACTTATGATAATTCACGCATTGCTTTACAATAAGTAAAACAATTCTGTTTAATTTTGCTTGACAAACATGAAACGCTGAGTCCTCCCAAGTCAAACTAATTTAATGAATATCTAAAAAATATATACTCGTTGGGAAATTAGGGTGTGAGCTTCCAGATGAGTTTAATAAAAATCATAAATTTTGATGTTTTAGTTGTCTTATTTTCTATTTTCAAATTTATTTTGATGTAACATGCCTAAAATGACAATGCCAAAGAGAACATGAAGCGTTTTCTGATGTTTCAAAACCTTGGTGGGATTGGATTAATGATGCAAGTATTGTTGATTTAGCTCTCATTGAATTCCCTAGTTCGTTCAACTCCTTGAGTAAAATTGGCAGGTTTCGATTTTTCTATTTTAGCTAAAGATATTGTGGGACGATTTCCTAAAGATTTCTTACTATAGCTGTGAACAAGAGGATTGTTTCATTCTCTGACTTTCCAAATGCAGACATAGTTTAGGTGTTTGTTTCCAAGACTCTATACACGCGTGGCAATCCAAGAATACTAAATTGAATGCTTGTACTTTTAGATTAGGTTTTAGTGATTCAAAGAATCTACCAATTTTGGGTTTAGTTTAGGCATGGATGGAACCGGTTCAAAAGCCCAGTTTCAGAGCCGGCCAGCTTTCCTTACGCGGGATTATTGCCTCCTATGTAAATTTATCAGACATTCGATTTATCATTAAATTGTCTAGTTAAATTCAAATTTTCTTTCAAAATGTGTGATTCCTCAATGTTGTGTAATTCTTGGCAACAATTTCAGTGAAAGCTTCTCTTTGTAACAACATGAGTCCTGATCATCAATCTCATGACTTTTTATCCTTACTAATCTTTATCTGCATATTCTACAAATGGAATTTCAAGCATGATTGAAATTTGGTTAAATATTCTACAATCTATTTTTTCTTCTATAATGTGAGTCTTAATTACTTAATTTTCTTTTGATTTCAAATTCTCTTGGAATTTTTAATTATGACAATCTTTAAATAATTGTTGTTTGAAGGGACTTGTATGATTATTTATAATTTTGGAGCCAAAAATATGAAACTTCGCCAAAACTTACAATAAGATCAAGTTTGCTATAATTTGAATTTTATTTTTGCAACATAAAAATTCCTATTATTTAATAATTTTGTTTCAATATTGAATTTTCTAAATAATTGTAAATTATAATAACCTTTGATTGGGAGCAAGTATGTATTTTCTAATTTTGCATCAAGAGATGAAAATTTGCCAAAACTAAAGGAGCCTTTTTTCGCCTGTGGCTATAAAAAAGCTTAGTACAGAAGCTGTTGTTTAGAAGTTGGTGTTTCAGAAGAAGTTGATTTGTTTGAAAATTTAAGTTTTAAAAGTTTTGCTGTGAATAAATATCTGAAATGCACCTTTGCATATAGTATATAGAAAGGAGTTAAAATGAAAAAATATTATATTACTTTTTGGTTGTGATTAATATAATTTTTAATATAAACTTTGAAAAAATAAATATTATTGATTAATATATTGTTATAGCCTTGTACAAAAATTAAATCTAATTATTTGTTGTGTGTGTGTCCAGCTAATTATATATATATATATATATATATGTAATAATAATATAATAAATTTTGTGGTATGTGTGCTATGTCCAACTAATAATTTATAAATTTGATCAAATAATTTATTTTTATATCTATATATTACGCCTTACAAATTTTATATCTATGAATTTTGTGGCATGCTTTATAAATTTTATATCTATAAATAAAAGAAGAATTATGTGGCATGCTTGTTATGTCCAGCTAAATATATAGATATATGTGAATCTGCTCTAAATATTACATGCATACCACGGACCCTTTTGGGATGGTCTTTTCCAAACCGCGGGACGCAGGGAGTCTCCAGCTTCCATAGATTCACGAAAAGGAGTGTTGCGTTTGCCGTGTCGTTCCTTTTGAAGCAGCAAACAAACACATGAAATTTTATTTTAACCTAAAAAGTGGTCTCAAAAGTCCAAGCAAACACGCCCTAAATGACAATGAAGTATAAATTTTGTTTTTACACATGCTTTTAAGCATTCCATACTAGGTTTGCATCAGCAAATCCAATACTTTTAAGAGTGTCGTTGGTTTAATAAAGTACAGTTAAGAAAGATTAGATGTCACTGATGCATTGCATATAGGGAATTACCTCTCTCATGGATTCAAATACAAAAAAGAAAGAACTAGATGGCAGATTGCTCCTTTGTCCCCTGGCATCAATCAAAGATCTTAAATAATCAAACATCATACAGCTAAAGTTTTTTTTGTAATTATTTATTTCTTTTTTTTTTACTTGTAGTTTTGTATATAAATACCCATTGAAGGAATGAGCATACACTTATTCTTTTACAACAATCCTAAAACATCTTGCATCACAATGTTCAAGCTAGTGCTAA